CAGTGGCTCACACTTGTAATTCCAGCATGCTGGGCGGCCAAGGCGGGTGGATTGCCCTGAGCTCACAGGTTCAAAACCAGCCTGAGCCAGAGCAAGACCTATTCTCTAAAAAACAGCTAGGCATTGTGGTGAGCGCCTGTAATCCCAGCTACCTGGGAGGCTGGGGCAAGAGAATCGCTTGAGACAAAGACTTTGAGGTTGCTGTGAGCTATGGAGGCACAGAACTCTACCAAGGGAGACAAAGTAAAACTGTCCAAAAAAAAAATTTTTTTTTAATTAACAGACTAAATAAATGCCAGGCTTAAACACACACACACACACACACACACACACACACACACACTGTACACCATAAAATTCTCAAGATAGGCAATAATTACATTTCTTTAAAGAAATGAATGAAAACTAAACTTCTCCCTGACTAATTTTCAAACTACAGGGTCTAAGAGGCCTAAAATTACAAAGGAAAAGGGCAAAAACAGTCCAGGTAAAAACAATGTATTATTTGTCTAAATAAAAACAGTAGTAACAAAAAGGGGCAGACTCACTCCCACCATTTCTGTGAGTCTCTTCTTTCAATGCTTCCACCCCCCTTCCCTACTTCACCCACCAGACAGCAATGCCAGCAAAGGACCCAAAGATTCCGGGTCCTAGTTTTTGTTCAAACAGTGACCAACTGCCTGACCATGAAAGTCAATCTCGTATAAAATGAGGACAGCAGTAACATCTCCCTGTTCCCAGGAGAGATTAATAATGCTTTATGGCAATAACCTTACTTTATAGTTAAAACTTTAAAAACTGAAATCTTAAATACTGTGTAAATTTAATATCATACTCAGGTCAGTGAGTGTGAGGAAAATTAAACATGACTTCTAGAAAGCAACAGCTTCAGAGATGTAGAAACAGTACATTCAAATAAGCCATCACACATCTGGGAAATGGCAATTCCAGTTTGTTACTACATAAGCATGAAGTCACATACACAGAAAGGGCCCCAAGGACGGCCCACATGGCCAGGCATGGAGAAGGCGTCGCCCTTTGCACACGGGTTCATTTAATCCCCAGCACCGCCCTGCATCTGGGTGCTTTCTGCAGGTGCCCTCTGAACCCAGCAGCACCTGCAGTGTAGCCCATTCTAGGTCACACTCAACACCACCCACAGTGACCAAAAACCCAAAGGCTTGAGACGGAAAGAAAAGGTCAGGATATCCTACCTCAGGGAATTCCTGCTGGGAAAAAGGAAAGGACAACGCACTCCAGAAGGCCCAGCAAAAGGCGCAGATCATTAATCTGACATGGATATTGGGATGAGATGACTGGCAGAGTTTGAAGTAACAGAGTAAGGCCGGGGGAGAACTGCCTTCACATTTCCAGGCAGTTTCCAGCTATCTGGACCCTCTTAAAGAGAAATTATCACTTCATCATAAAAGTTATGCCTCCTTATCAGCTTGGATTAATGGCAAGTTAGCTTCCAAATTCTATAATTAGTAAGTATTACCTTTTCATAACTTACAAATTCCTCAGAGCTGAATCTCTTGCAAGAAAAATCTGAGGTACACATGATCCAGTCAGCGCAGAGAAGTACAGAGTGATCCTGTCAACTGTAGTAACCGCAGTAACGATACTAACAGCAGTAATAGTAACCACAGCAAGGGTGATATTTACTGCCTGCCTACTATGTGCCCGCCACAAATAACATTATCAAACCTTGACTTCACAAAATAAGATGAGGGGTTATATTTTTATCTTCCTTTAATGCAACTGGGTCTCAAGAAGTTTGGTGACTTTCCCAAGGTCAGAAAGCTCCTAAGAGGTAGCCTAAGAAATTCAGCCAAGCCTGGTATGACATAAGAGCCGGCCTTTTTTTTTTTTCTTTCTTGAGACAGAATGTCACTCTGTTGCCCTTGGTAGAGTGCTATGGCATCACAGCTCACACAGCAACCTCAAACTCTTGGGCTCAAGAGATTCTCTTGCCTGAGCCTCCCAAGTTGCTGGGACGACAGGCGCCTGCCACAACACCCAGCTACTTTTGGTTGCAGTTGTCATTGTTGTTTAGCAGGTCCCAGCCAGGCTCAAACCACCAGCCTTGGTATATGTGGCCGGCGCCCTACTCACTGAGCAACAGGCGTCAGACTACTTGGGGCTCAACAGTCTGGAAATGTTTGCCCACAGATGTTTTCAGCTGTCACTTCTTTAGTTGAAGCACCTTCCAAACTGTCCCTAGCCTGTGAGAAAAGGTCTTCTCACGGGGACTAGATATGGATACACGAGGCACTAACTTAGCTCAAGAACCAAATTCAGTATTAAAAATGATGAGAGCCACCAACGAAGGGAGGGAGGGGACAGATAAATCAAGAATAGCCCAAGATTAAAAATTATCAAAACCATGGCTTGGCGCCTGTAGCACCGTGGTTACGGAGGGTGGAGGGTTTGAATCCGGCCCGGGCCAGCTAAACAAATGCAACAAAAGAAAAGAGCCCGGCATTGTGGTGGGCGCCTATAGTCCCAGCTACCTGGGAGACTGAGGCAAGAAAAGAGCTTAAACCCAAGAGTTGGAGGTTGCTGTGAGCTCTTATGCCACAGTACTCTGAGGATGACATAGTGAGACTCTGTCTCAAAAAAATAATAATAATAATAATAATTATCGAAACCAGGTGATAGGTGTAAGAGGGCCCATCCTACTCTTCCCTGCAATGACAGGGACAGCCCAGTACAAGGAAGGGCCATCCAGCCAAAAATGCCAAAAGCATCTCACCGAGAGAAATGGTGATGGCTAAAAGGATTGTTGAAACAGACTTCCATGGAAATGAGTAAAACAAGAATGAATACAGACATAGATAGATTTTATCCCAGGCTTTCAGGTTACTCTGAGCATGGAAGGTGCTCACCTAGTGTGTTGATGCAATAGACATTCACTGCATCCCCTGTCCACCAACCACCAAGAATAGTAATATTAGGTCAGATTGAAGAACATAACAAGACCTAGAGCTCGGCACCTGTGGCTCAAGTGGGCTAAGGCACCAGCCACATAAACCTAAGGTGGCAGGTTCAAATCCAGCCCAGGCCCACCAAACAACGATGGCTGCAACCAAAAAATAGCCAGGCGGTGGGGCAGGCACCTATGGTCCCAGCTACTTGGGAGGCTGAGGCAGGAGACTCGCTTGAGCCCAGGAGTTGGAGGTTGCTGTGAGCTGTGATGCCTCGGCACTCTACCCAGGGGGACAGCTTGAGGCTCTGTCTCAAAAAAAATAAAAAACAAAAAAAATAACAAGATCTAGATTTTAGGACCTCCCAATTCTTTCAGCCACTTCTTCATTAATTTTTAATTAGTATGTATAAGTTTCAAACTTTCAAGCTCATCAAAAAGCTTTTTTAGGGCTGGGCCTGATAATCCTAGCACTCTGGGAAGTTGAGGTGGGAGAATCACTTGAGCTCAGAAGTTCAAGACCAGCCTGAGCAAGAACAAAACCCTATGTCTACTAAAAAATAGAAAAATCAGCCTGGCATCATGTCAGGTGCCTGTAGTCCCAGGTACTTAGGAGCCTGCGGCAGGAGGATCACTTGAACCCAGGAGTTTGAGATTGCTGTAAGCTCAGCTGAGGCCATGGCACTCTAGCCTGAGGCAAGAAAGTGAGACTGTATCAATAAAAAAAAAAAATGCTTTTTCAAAAGTGCTTTTCTTACAGTTATACAAATATTTCTATTATTCAACCTGAGAGGAAGAAAATATAATAAAATTGAAAGTAAACTTGTTCTTAATCAAAGGGCTGTGTCCTACTGTAATAGCATCTTTTATAGGATGATCTGATGAAGATTCATCAAAACAAGAGGAAAATACATCATCCTCTAGACCCAAACATTCTATAAATACTGTACGTCGCGTAAAACAAGGCCGTCGAGATACATTCTTAAAAGAGATTACATTTGCACACATTCATTCATTCTACATTTCTTAAAACTGTAACACCCCCATAAACATGTAAAATATGTTTTATCTTTATGGGCTTTACCTGCTATTTGTACCGAACCATCCTCACCCAGAAGAATATTACCAGCTTTCAAATCCCTATTAGAAAAAAGAAATAGAGAATAAATTGTGGAGTACAGATTATTATATTGATTCACTTAGGAAGATTTTAAAATACATCATATGAGGCGGCACTTTGACATAAATATAATATTAAAATTATATTAAAGATTTTAAAAGTTACAAGGATTTAGTCCTGGGGGACACTTAGGATTTTAGTGACAAATAATTTCCATGACATCATTATCTGTATTTAATTAAATTACTGGTGAGTAGACTATTTTATGTTTCAGGGTTAGAAACTGGCCATGAACTCACAATCCAGTCATTTTATAGAGTATTAAACTGCAGTCTACGTATAGCTATTCTACTTCCACTTATGTTTATCTGTGGTGCAATTCCACAGTAATTCCATCTCCCTTGGAAAAATGAATTCTATCATCTCCTCTGGGAATATACCAATTATAAATACTCTTTATAATATATTTCTTTACTATACAGAAGCTGTATACAAGTAATCTTAACACTTAAAGAAAAATGAGAATTTGTAATTCATATGTTTGAATTCTAAAGTATTAGCTCACTTATAGTTCAGAGTAGGAGGATTACACTATGAGTATCATTGGGAAATGGTTATTTACTTGCAAAATTTGTAAAAAAAAAAAAAAGAAAAGAAAAACCTAAGAGCCCAAGTAGCACTAATTCATCTGAAACATTAGGCATTCACTTTCTATGCTGTTTGTCTATTTTAAACAATTGGCATTTTATGTCACAAAGAAGATAAAATTAGTGCCACCTCCTTTCCTCTCACTACTGTATTGAAAATAATTAATATATCACAATGTCTGGAGCAGAAGTGCCTGTATCAGAAAGCTAGAGATGCTATCCAGTTCAACTGAACACACTTTAAGAAGAGTTATGTTAACTCATTTTTTTAAATGAGTTCATGTAGTGCCTTTTGTATTCTGCACTTATTTCAGTGAAAGCAAATAAACCAATCCCAAGGATACCTATATTATTCATCAAAATTAATTCTTCTGTTTCTTTCTTTTCTTTTTTTTTTTGAGACAGAGCCTCAAGCTGTCCCCCTGGGTAGAGTGCTGTGGCATCACAGCTCACAGCAACCTCCAACTCCTGGGCTCAAACGATTTCCTGCCTCAGCCTCCCAAGTAGCTGGGACCACAGGCGTCCACCACAACGCCCGGCTATTTTTTGGTTGCAGCTGTCATTGTTATTTGGCGGGCCCGGGCTGGATTCAAACCCTCCACCTTAGATGTATGTTGCAGGGGCCTTAGCTGCTTGAGCCACAGGCACTGAGCCCTGTTTCTTTCTTAAGGTCTTTTTCTTCCCAACTATTCAGTCTATCTAAGTTAGAAGTAACATCAATACCTACCTTCTGCATGCATTTCCTTAACATTCTTTACAAACTAGGGCTAAAGAGATGAACAGGTGAATTAAACATCTCTGCAGCTGCCATACCTATGAATCTGACCATTTCTGTGCAGATAGTCTAGGCCTTCCAAAACCTCTTTAAGAATTGTTGCTATTATTGCCTCTTCCAGAACTCCATTCTTGTGTTCTCCTCGGTTGACGATGTATTTTATGATATCCAACATTGAACCTAAGTGGACAAACAAAAGAATTAGAAAAAAATAATTTTAGAAACACCTTCATTACCTTTTCAGGGTAAAACTCCACCATTTAGGGAAAACTAAATGGTGATATTGAAATACTGGGTTTTGTTTGTTTAGTTGATACAAACATTCCCAAGGTGTATAAACAACCAAAGGGCAGGCCCAGGACCAGAAACACCAAATTCAGGTTTGCAAGGCACTTTCAGGGTGCACTTAGAGAGGATGATTCTGGATCAGGAACCAGACCACTTCACGGTTAGTCCCTTTGCTCTGGACATACAACTGGTCACAGACTCTGAAGAGGGTTCAAGAGGTCTAAACTGACAAAGGAGGAGGAGGAAGCCAGGAGAAAAGGCAGCAGTCAACTGCGGAGAGAAAGAACCCAGATGTTCCCGAAAACTTAAATCACAGCTGGAGGGGGCAACAGTATGATGCTGCTAAACCTCTCCACGTGACGGTACACAGTCTATTTTCATCTACCTGATGCCTGATGTACTGACACCTACAATAAAGAAATTAATACCAAAATACCTAGCTCTTGGCTACTATATACAGAGCAGTATCCTTGGCAATGTGAATTCATGTTTCAACACATATTAATTAATATTCCAAACCTCTAGGTCATTTTAAAAGCCATAACTACCTGGGGGTTCGACATTTCTGAAGAGTTAACAAACAGCTTACCTCAGGACCTGAATTTGGCTCTAGGCTCTTTATAATTAACTAAGAGGATTGAGTTTCCCTGTCAGATTATTCCTCCACCAGACTAGCTGCCTGCCCCTCATTAAGAGAGCCAATGTAATGAAATATAATAGAAGAAAACAAATCCACATTGTACTTCCCCTTCAGAAAGAAAAAAAAAATCTGATTATTCACTGACTCTTGGATTTTTGTGTCGTTTGGAAAATGGTAATTCCAAAACCATTTTATAAGGACGTACCATACCAGGCAAGTATGCATTTCTGGCCAGCTAAAGGAAAATGAATAGGAGTCCACATCTGCCTACGTTCTCCTTACCTGTGGAAACCTGTTTAAAACCTGTTCCTCTTACCTAAAGCCCAGAGAGATTATGCTGACCTCTTTTTAAAAGTCAGTGAAATTTTCTATCAGATCCGCCCCATAAAACAGGACAAGAGGATATTCTCAAGTTTATAAAAGTAAGAGGTTAATTAAGGTAAAATCTTCAGCTTGACCAGAGCGGTATTTGGAACTATTCGAGGTCTCAGGTCACCAAAATTTCTCATTTCCTCAAGGTTGGTGGAACCCCCACAAGAGGAACATCAGTAAGACCATCTTGTTGGCAAAGCATTACCCTCTGCAGAACCGAGGGGCAAGCCCAATAGTCGCACGGCACTGAGGAGGCTTCCTTTTCCTTCTATTCTGTCTTTTTATTCTTTTCTCTTTTAATTAAAAACCAAAGTAGTCACTCAAAGAGACGACGACTGATAGAACTGAGTAAGACTAGGAACAGAGCAGAACTAAGTTCTCCCAGGCTCCCTACTGAGACCTACACAAGCATAGCCAAGCCAATGACAATGTCTCCATCATCTCATTCCTGGGCCTTTACTTGATCCTAGAGAGTTTCTTTAAAAAAAAAAAAAAAAAAATTCAAGATGTATCCCTAGATTCAGCCTTAGCTGGAACTACATCTGCAGTTTAGAATGAGCTCCAACATGTAAATTCTGCTGTGCCAAGTTTGGCTTTGTCCAGGCAAAGCAAAATGTTCTCTGCTCTTAAATCACACTTCATATTTCAGAAAGACACAGGAGGAGTGACACCCTAGAAACAGAACATGTTAGAGGGTATGCCAGTGTCACTAAGGAAGTCACTAAGGCAGTCTAAGTTTCAGTGTCCAGGTCGGTAGAATGAAGCAGCACAGCTCAGTTTTTAAGCTATGTCACAAATTCCAGCACCAACATTTACTATGTATGTAATCTTGGGAAAGCGGCTGAACTCCTTGAGCTTTGGTGTAATTTCTGAAAAACAGGGATGGTGACACAGGCCATTCAGAGGTGTCATCAAGATTAAATGAGAGAATGTCAGTAAACTGCCTTAGACAGGATCTAGCCACAGGAAATGTTCAACATAGGTAACAGTTATCATTACCCCTCCTTTCCTGAGAGTGATGTTAAAAGACTAAAAGAAATCAAATACGCACATGAAACTGCTTTGTAAATTAAACTGTAATGGCTTGCATAACTCCAGGGATCTGAGGCTACAGAGAGGAGTTATTTTCCTTCCCAAATCCAATAGGAGGATAAGAATAGTGTCACTTCTAGTCAACACCACAAAGGATTTAGCACATATTTCTCGCGGACATTTATTGAGCACCCAGTAGATGCCAGGTTGAATGAATTCAATGTGTTTAAGACAGTTCTTTCTTCACAAAGTCCACAATCAAAATTTGCACTACCCAATACTGTGGCCACTAGTCGCAAGAGGCCATTTAAATATAAGTGAATTACAATGTAACAGAAACTCAGTCTCTCAGTCACACTAGCCACATATCAAGTGCTCAAGAGTGGTATGTGATTAGTAGAAAGCTGATGGCTCATCTGTAGAACATTCCCATCACGACAGAAAGTTCTAATAACCAGCGCTGAAACAATTCAGTATGTTACAATGTGTTAAGGATCTCAATAATGTTAAAAAGAATGTTTAAAGAAAAAGAACAGTTAACTTTTTTGAAGAGTAAGCAGTGGCTACAGAAAGGATATGACATCTTACGGCTGGAGCACATGGGAAGGTAAGGAGAAGAAGAACTCAGTCCAGGGCCAGAGGGAACAGGGGAAGGGGACACACATGTAAAATAAATAGTAAAAATATCTGTTAAGCTGAATTAGGTAAGACTCTGAAGATCAGCTCTAAGGAATCTGAACTTTATCCTCCAGGCAGTAAAAAAGCAAACTCTCAAACGCAGGAACGAAGGGATCAAATCTAAAGTGTTATTCAATATACTGGCTCCAACAAAAGGCAAAAAAAAAAACCCAATAAAAGCCCACTTACCTCCACTTAGTAACTTCATGACCAGCCAGAGTTCATCTTTGACCACAAAAGAGGTGTAATAGGTCACGACATTTGGATGGCTGCACTGACTCATGGCTTGAATTTCTTTCTATAGAAAAAGCAAAACTATTATTAGATCTACATATTCTCCAAATATTTCCAACCATCCACCCAGGACATTTACTATGACACTGCCCTTTGGTTTAGGAAATCCATGTTTACACCCTTTGTACTCAATTATCTAAAAATGAAATTTTATTCTATGTTGACCATGATTTTTTTCTTTACCATGATTAAAATATTTAAAATAGGTAGTGTACACTTAATAGTCACTACTGATAGATCAGACATTATATAAATTGCTTCATGTGTGCTATGCCATTTTAGCAAAATAGTAGGTGTTTTTTCTCCACTTTACAGATGAAAAAAACTGAGACTTCAAGAGATTCGTGAACGCCTAAAGATTAAACAGGTGATTGCAGTCAGGTGATTGCAGTAATGGTCCCAGACCCCATTGGTATTCACCAGCTGAAAGGGATTCTTCCAAATGATATTTTTACGATTTCTCTTACATTTTTAGGGGGAACATTTAAAAAGTGGAAATTCTATAAAAACAAAACGATTTGGTGATTTGGATAAGAAATGTCCCTATACATGGCACTAGGGCCTAACATTTATTTTCATTATATTCATTAAAGTAATGTGGTTAAAATTAGAATGAAGTTTGTTTACTTTGTTTAATTTGGAAATAATTCTTGAGCTACAGAGGCAAACTGTATTAGACCTGCATGCTCAACAAATATTTTCAACCATCCACCCAGGACATTTCCTAGGAAGTTTCCTGCCCCACAAATATGAAGAGATGGGAAGGAAACCCCCCAAAATAAAACTATAAAAATGAAAAAAAAAATAATAACAAAAACCTATGTTTAAGCATTTACCAGAAATTTTCTCATATTGCTACATGGCCTTTGTTATCCCCCCACAAATATTATTTCTCCTATAAACAGTACTGAGGATAAGCAGGAATTGTGTTCAACAAAGCATTGGATCTTTCAGAAAGCACTTAAGAAGGGCTACAATCTCAGTCACAACTAGATTGATTCCTGGGGCAGATTATCCTATGTCTTTGAGCCTCTGTTTCCCTTGCTGTAAAATGAGATTTATACTACCAACTACATAAAATCACTGTGGAATAAGCAAAAAGAAATACACAAAACTCGTTGCAGGTGAGAACCTTCCAGGTCTTCATTCCTTCTTGGCCACTCATCTCACAGGTGTCTCAGGTGTCCAAGTCCTGACTAGGCCTCAAAGGCACAGAGAGACAGACCTTGCCAGCAGCATTCAACTTTCCATACAGAAATAATCAAGTGACACACTCATTTGCCCTGCTGGCTCACCAGCGGAGGAGCTTCCTATCGTGTACCGGCAGGTCATTCAGTGAGGAATTTTTAGCTTTGCTCCTGATTCTACACTGTCCGGGTCTGTGTTTTCCCTAATCATTTCACCCTGTGTTCAGTTTATACCTCCTTGTCCTATTTCATGTATCCTGGGAGGCTGCCTCCAACTCTTTTGGGATTCTCTTTGTACTTAAAACAAAGAGAAGTAACATAAGTTTTGAGATATGAGAACTAGGAAAAAGTTAGAGCCGGTTTTTTTTTTCTCCCTGAGACCATGAGATTGACGAAGCACTAGAGGAAAATTTTTTGTTAAGGAAAGAGAAGAGTTTAAAATGGATTCTGAATTCAAAGCATGAAACTATGTTTAATCAAAGTGGCACATTTGCACAATTGATGTAAATCCCAAATAAATTCTTTATCTGACAATGGCGGCAAAATTATCCCATTCAACTACTCAGTTAAGAACTCAGACCTCCCCAAGCTCCAGCGACAGGTGCACGTGCACAGTTCAAGCGGAGGCGTGACTAGGTCTGACTTTATTCTACAGCAGTAGATCTCAACCATGGCTGCACATTGAAATCGCCCGGGGAACTCTGAAAAACCAACATCTGGGTCCCGGCCCCAGGGAGGCTGATGTAAATTAGTTTAGGATACAACCTGGGAATGAAAATTTCCAGAGGCTCCCAGGTGATTCTAATGTGCAGCCAAGTCTGAGAATTCCTGCTTTCAAGTTAACCACTGAGAAGCATTTTCTTTTCAATGAAATGATGGGACAGAAACATATAGCTAACTCCCAGGCACATTTCCACACTGCCATTTAATCTCAAAAGGAAAATCGATATATGTGATTTACAAATACTGTCAAATGAAGCCTGTGTTTCCAAATGCAAGAGATGACCAAAACATCTTTAAAATGTATGCAATACCCTGCTAGCATTCAAAGAATTCCATAACTGATGTGAGGGTAACCGTGCTAAATAAAACCTTTCTAGAATATTATTCTCCAGCGTTATCATTGCTCCTGTAATGATAACAGGAGCATCATTACAAAAGACCGCCTAATATTCATAACAACCAAATATTATAAGCAGCAGAATTAAAAATTAAAAAATAAACTTCAGCAATTTCAAATGTTAGTGAAGAAACGTAAGAAAAATACTAGCTCTTATAGGAGCAATGTATTTTTCTGTACTGTCATTTTCAATCATGAAAAATGTTACTGTGAGCTTTTTAACCCTACTAAAAACCATGTGCCATTTATGCAGCTCACACTTGCCTCTTTTAGAGGAAAAGTACCAGCAGAGCAGAGAAAAACCTATTCAAAGAATGAGACAAATATTGTCCTGTACCACTTTACAAATGAATCAACAAATATCCCTTGCCACTTAGCTCTGTGATTATTTTTATGTGATTTGGTATCTGAATTTATCCAAATATAGTCCAAATGAAGGCAGGCTTAGAAATGAGATATTTTGAAGGCAAGGAAACATTTTTAAGAAATTAGGAAAGGGAAGCATTAATTCAGTGATAGTTTTAAGCAGTGTTCATAGATAAGGTTTGTTTGGATCATTGGGTTTTTTTTTTTTTTTTTTTTTTGGAAGAGAGTATTGCTCTGTCACCTGCTTGGGCTAGAGTGTGACATGGCATCAGCGTAGCTCACAGCAACCTCAAACTCCTAGATTCAAGCAACCCTCCTTTGTTAGCCTCCAGAGTAGCTGCGACTATAGGTGCTCACTACAATGCCTGGCTCATTTTTTCTATATTGAGTAGAGACAGATTCTCACTCTTGCTCAGGCTAGTCTCCAACTCCTGGGCTTAGGGGATCCTCCTGCCTCCGCCTCCCAGAGAGCTAGGATTACAGGAGCGAGCCACCACAGCCACCTAAAGATAAGTTTTTAAAACTAGAGAGAGTAGTTGTAAACATGTAAAGTGTCATGGTAAATGGAGGACTGGAAAATTCCTCAAAAGCAGCAGGGAAATCACCATGAGCAAACATTTGCTTGCTAACAGAAGAGAAGGAACATTCCAGGGCCTACTTGCTTGGTTAGTTATGATGTTACAAAATTGGGCGCTGTGCAAAAAACTGTCTTAAAAAACTAAAGAACTTTGTTTAGAAATGTAGAAGCCTTCTAAGAGCAGAATGTGAACGTTTTAAAATAATAACTAAGAAAATGACACACACACAAAAAAAGAAATGTAGAAGCCACTGGTACAGTTATTTGCTTCAAAGAGTGAAAGTAAGGGATAAAATAATGATACTGAAATACTAAAAGAGATCTCAAGAGGAAGGAGCCATTTTCCTTCAGAGTTTAGCTAAAACAGTTAGTTCTTCAACATAATAATGGTATCATATGGGTTCTGAAAGCACTGAGGTTGCCATCGCGGAACTGGAATCAGACTCTGTTATCAATAACTGCTTTTTGATCATTTAATTCCCTGTGCCTGGGAATACTAGAAAGAGTCAAGCTGAAGACATTATTGAAAACAGAATAGTTGCTCCCACCGCAGTCCCAGCTACTCAGGAGACCGAGGCAGGAACATCACTTAAGCTCAGAAGTTGGAGACTGCCATGAGCCCTGATCACACCACTGTACTCCTCAAGCCTGGGCAATAAGGAAGACCCATCTTCAGAAAAAGGAAAAAAAGAGATAGCCAGGCCTGGTGGCTACTCAGAAGGCCCAGCTAGGAGGATCCTTTGAGCCCAGGAGTTTGAGGCCAGCCTGGGCAACACAGTGAGAACTCTTAAAAATAAAAATAAAAATAATTTTAAAAGACAGAAACATAAAGAACTTTTCTTGTCAGCCAATACGTAATGCTGTAAACCTCAAGGCCAACTTTTATCACCACTGCTGATTTGGCTTCATCACCAAAAGATGAGAATGTAAGGTGAGACATATCTTTCTCTTTCTGTGGTGTCTCCTGTCCCATGCCTGGGTACCACGTGTCATCTGGGGTTCTGCCAGGGGAGCACCCTCCGCACAAGTGGCAAAGATGACTCCTAACACCCCTCAACCTTCTTCTTGAGTATCTCACCATCCTCTTTCTCAGCAGCAGCTTGGTTAATTATGGAAATAAGTAAATCAAAATAAAAAAGAAGATAACACAGGCAAGGATTAAATCATTTGTCTCACCCCAAGCAACAAAATTTTCCAGATGCTGTGAAGGTGACAAAAGATAAAAAGGAAAGACCTGATAAAGTTCTGTTCGATCTGGAAACGCTTCCCCATTTACTCCTACTCTGAAAATGATTCCATGCTGGGTTTCTGTTACTGAGAACGTAGAAACCCAGAAGCACAAATGTCCTTGCAATGCTAATTTCTGCTCACTTTTTGAAAAAAAAAAAAAATAGCATGAGTTGTTAAACATATTAGTGAGCCATTTCTAACAAATGCAGAAAAATACTTAAAAGTAAAATTCAATTACATTTAATTAGTATCTGAATAAACTATGGTCTGACTTTGAAATTTGATATTCTAAAAATGAAAGCTATTTTCTCCAACCAAATCATACATATTCTGAAGCTAATATGACTTTAGGGCTGTAAAAATAAATCAGTTTTGCATACAGTATTTAGTCTCTAATTTCTTAAGAATATTTTCATGTCTTTAAGATATCCAAAGTTTTCATTTCTAATCCTGCCCTGGATTGGTGGGGGGGGAGTGCTATATGTGGATAAATATGAACATCAAATCATATGGAAATAATTATA